ACCAAAAAACGTGCTTGAAATTTTTGATTTTCGGAGAGGAAAAAAAACTTAATGTAAAAATAGAAATACGGATTTAAACTTCATGATCCTTGCTTCAAAACAGTGTAAAGTTTTTGGCCGCATGCATGACCGTAGAGCTGACATTTTAAAATGTATTCACGTTAGTTAATTATCAGCCCCGCCGATTTTCAGAATCACGTGACGCTAAAACAAACACAATGTTCATAAAATATTAATAATAGAAAAGTACAAGTCAAGGGCTTTCCAAACATATACAGATTATATGGTTTCTTGTAAAATTTATTCTGATAATAGGTGTTTACATTTTCCATGCAAAAAAACTATCCTGCTACCTTAATTACTCATTCCACAGGTCTTCGAAACTGCTACTGGCCAGCACGTGCACAGATCATAAAGCGTGAGAATGTGACTTACTATATGGACGGAGCTCATACACAGCTGAGTATCAAGGCTTGTGCTGAATGGTTTGAACAAGCATCATCAGAAGAAGAATTACTGCTCGGGTATGTACAGGGACAAACAGATGTTGTGTGCATATTACCCAAACGCTCGATAGACTTTATGTACAAATTGGCATGATTAACATTTCCGCATCACCTCCACAGCACTGAATTCAAGATTTGTAATTATGTCATGCCAGTTCCACAAATTGATTAGTTGGACTCTTGTAAATTTACATTTTCAGTAGGGTTCAGAAATCCTGATAGGGGCAAACGTAAAAAATTATATTAGTATTAATCTGTCTGTCTGTTATGTCAGGGGCATTCTTACAGTGGCACTAGTCTTAATAAATGTTGCATGGATTTAAGATATAGGGTCGTGCGTATAGGAAGTCATTCAAGTATTCTTTCTCATGTTTTATGATTTGTGTCTCCTGTTATGTATACTTATTGTCTTTGCGTTTATCTTGTCTTACGTAACATTTCATTTTGAAAACTGTAGGCAAGGGTGTTTCATTGTGGAGATAAGGCATATGTTGTTTTATAAAATACTTGGTGAGATTAACGGTCCTGGAAGTTGCTTTACACCAAAAACAAATGTATACTTTAATCAGGGTTTTTGAACAAAAAGTGTCCAAAGATTAGAATCTGTAAACACTATTTAAACAATAATGGATGATCTGCCAACCCATAATGGGCGACGGCGCACTTTGTACGACATATTGGAACACAAAGTGTGTTTGAGTCCGTTATGAGTTAATGTAATTAGTTTATAGCATTGTGAATACAGGTAAATTTGCTGCAACTGTAAAAAAAAAGGTTCCGAGTGAGCGAAACAGTTTAACTGGCCGACGAAACCTCTCGGGTAAAATATAAAGTGAAAAAAAAATGGTTTTAATCCATCAAATGTTATTCAGTATTTCAGTATGTATATTTCCCCTGTCGATATTTGAATGTTCAGCTTAATTTACCTAGATTGCTAGATTTTAGGTGGTTGTGATATCATTAGTAATATTTCGAATACTATAATTCTACTGTTAATATATTGTAAGCCCTATAATCTTATGTCGGGCTTCATCGTTCTATGAACCATCTGTTTACGTAGATTTTCCATTTTTAGTAAAAAGATACAATGATTGAATGCACATTAACCAAACATAATAAAAGTTATAATATAGGACTAAACAACTTTAATATTCTTACTGATCTTAAGATTGTTTTTTTAATCAACGCTGTATTTAACAATATTTCATTACAGGAAACGTTGTGTGAAAGTTCTGCTGTTCAATGTTACCCGCGAACGTGACCCCAAGGAGTTAATGGTGGATTTACTCCCTTGCAATTTTGCAGGTGCTACCTTCTCTCCCAATGTCGTTTATGGTGATTCTAGTCAGTCATTAATGGGTAAGCGATCTCTAAACTGTTTGCTCAAATCTTAACATTTGTCGACAGTTTTCAATCAACAAGTGTTAATGTAGCTACAGTTTAAATAGATTTATCACACACGTATTTATAATCTAGTGTATACACTATAATCTAGTGTATACACCCTCTTACATCTGGAAACATGCTTTGCATACGTGAATTTAAATGTTCGGGATTTATGAACGCCGAATTAATACGCTACTAATACAACTTTGACATGTTGTATCACATCAATTTGTGACGATAATACAGAGCATCAATTTCTCAGTTCTGACATAAAGTCTTAAGTTATTATTGTCATTGGTAATTGCCAAATCAAAATACAATACTGCCAAATATTTGTTTTCTTGGTACATCAATCTTGCTATTCACCCACATATGTCAAAGGATTATTGAACATTAACTTGATTACTGTAAGAATAATGGCATAAATTCATGTGCATGGTAATTGCATTCACTTACAACTATATACACTATATACAACTAGTCTCAGTTTCTCAAGTCCATCGGTTTTATGGTAGAAAGCAAATTCAAATCGCATAGTACTTATGTCGGTGTTCTATTCATACGATACTGTATAATCCGCCACACTAATACTGTATTGCTTCTACAATCATTTTAAATTCCCGTTGACATTGTTCTGTTCATTCATATGGCTTAATTTTGAAGGTCAATCTAATGAAAACATTTCCTTGACATATAATAATTCCTTGATGATACATTAGTATTGAATTTTGACCAGCAATAATAGGAACACATTTTTTATATTTATCACCATAATCAACAATAGTAATTGTCAAACTGTTTCACTAAAACTCTACTTGCTCAACCTCAACAAATACGATATTAACTTTGTGGTTAATAAACAAGGAAAACAAGGAAACACTGGATGTGACAGATGTTCATTGTAAATTGCATTAGATATTGTTTCATGCGCATAAATATCAATTATTGCCAAATCCTATACTTAAATGACTGTTCAAAACTGTTCATTCTGTGATTCTACATCACTACCATCAACAGGAAAACCATTTTTCTCAACTGTCACCATGTTGGCATATCCGCGTTTACATAAAGCCTATATCGTCTATAACCCCGTATTCCCTGTGGGTTCTACTGGTAGCTCGTGATAATGTCTATAGATACATATGCTGATTAGCTGAGTCACTCCGTCGTCAATGCGTCTTCCTCGCAATAATAAAACAAATGTCCGTAACGATTGATGACAATTTATGTTCTTCAAGTATAGCTCAGTACAACCAAACTTTGCAAATGAAGTATGCATACACATATGATGAATGCAATGAGTGGTTGACTGACAGCGCCATATAGTGGCGAAACAACTTACGTAATGCAGCAAAAATATATGCAAGATTTATATCACTAACGTATCAAATAATCACTTAGAAATCATTAGGCATGCGTAATCTGTTAAAATATCATGAGAAAAAATGACGTGAAATCATCACAGAAAAGTACTAAGTGAACAGGGCTTAAAAGCACATGTTATTGCATCATCGGCAAATAAACATGTCATGCCCTTACGCAAATACATGAATTACCACTCAAAAACGCAATCAAATGCTTCATACCGTATTTGTAGATCTTCCCAAGCGCAATCGACCTCAGTATAGTCGTATTTCCGAAGTTTCTACGTTCATTGACCACGATTCGACGTAAAGGTATTTAAAGGCCAATAATTCTACCAGCTCTCAGGCAGTAGATACCGTCTGTGTTTTCGTCATCTGCTGCCCCCAAAACAAAGTAATACATGCAACTCGAACTATAGGTGGCGCTATACCGTCAGCTAACATTTATGTGAAATGTACGATAGGGCTATAGAGCCTGAGATAACATTTCAGTGACAATGGCTAAGGAAAAATAATAAAGCAGAAATTTGACCATAACATAGCCTTTTCCTTTTCTCGTGTAATAACAGAGTAATATGTTTATTGTTATCATCGTGTTAACATGTATGTTTTTCCCTTCCTTTACTTTGGGTGTTCCGCTGTTTTCAACAACTAAATGTGACACATCTATATTGCGACTGTATCCTATATTCTTTATTTCATCATCTGACAAAAACATGTTTTTACTCAACACGTAGTTTATTTATACTCCGCGCACAGTGCTCCATTCGTAGACAATATGAATTACTAGCCACTTAATTTCATGTTTCTAAATTCTTTTTATCAAAAGTCCAACATTTCATATTGAAATAGAAGCAAGGCTGGCTAACCTAACCTAAAACTTGTAATTTCTCAATCAAATTTCACCGACATCAGAAGTAATATATGACGTATTGTTGTATCATTCAACGCTCCTTCTTCATTACTGCAGTTAATCGTTTCCGAGAATGCTGTCCAGTTTGAGTGTCTGCTACTGAACAATGTATATTCACATTAAATGAAATTCTAGGCGATTTCAAATCAAGTTGATTATGTTCTGTCTTAGGCATTTTTTTGTAAACGTAATACAATATCTAAAATGAAAAACTTTTCACCACATACTTCTTTACTAAATGTCAGTGTGCTATGATGGGGAAATTCTTCTCCTCTGGGGTCACGGGGTTCTCCAATACGTGTCACGGGGAAATCTCGTCTGGTTTCTATCTCTCGTCTGTTTGAGGTACCGGACCAGGAAAGTCAC